CAATAGGCTACTCTGTTTGAACTGGAATTATAATTTTTAATGTATTAATGTAGTTTAACGATATAATTTAAATTTGCTATTAATGCTTTTAACACTTCAATATAAATTTCAAGATCTCAAACTACAAATCAACTTAAATTATGCATTCATTGTAATGGCAAGATGTTTTTTGAAGCCATTTCATATCAAACTTTTTCTTCTTTAAGTGAATCATGTCAACTCTTCAAACGTTTACCTGTGACCCTCGGCTTTAGCAGATCCTTTAATTCCACAGCTGATGCTGTTAAAAAGACAGATTTTCTTTTCTGAATCTCTRACAGCAGGACTTCAGTCTCCGAACTCGTGAAGTTCTTCTTTGTACTTTGCGCTGCGAATTTCATGAATGAACACTTCMWSGTATCTGGGACAGGAAGCGTAGCCATATATGGTATTACTGGGGTAGAAATTACGCAAATTTTCTCTCCAGCACATGAATACGTACAGATAGCATTCATCATATTAACGCTGCTCATTTACACACTTTTCCTTAAGTTAGAAGCGTTTTTTTCTGAATCTGACGTGGCATGTTCGTACGAACCCTTCATACGTAAAAAGAAAGAGAAATTTAGGATAAGAATATGAAAGTGTTCTTGCATGAGGCCCAAAGTTTTGGTTGTGCTTGCTACATCAGCTGAAGTTCAAGCAGCAGCTGAAAAATTAGAAAATGCTTTGCTGAATCTGCTGCACATGGTGCTGCTTCATAAAGAGCATTTTCTTCCATTGAACAAGGCCATGATTGAACAAAGGGTTTTTTTTTTTCTCATTGTTGAACAAGGTTACTGGTCCACACTAACCTGTGCAGGTTCTGCTCCTCAGTGTTTGTTGTTCACTCATTCACACACACTCATAGTGTATAGTACTGTGTGTGTTTTAATTCTACCTACAGCTGGTGGGGATGTTGGTGGGGATGTTGGGCTATCTTTGCAAAAACCCTGCTGATTACATTTCAACAATAGAACCACTTTATCTGAGGGATAAGAAACAAGCTGTAAAAACAGTTTAATCTTCCTGTTTACCACAAATATTCTGCTCRTGGGACTTTGTGCTCTTTCTGTTAAACATGTTAAATAATTATTACAATTGGTTTACAACACACTGCTCCAAACTTCTTCACACAAATCAGAACAGGTTAAGACTAAATAGCTTTTTGTCTTGAGTTGAATTAACCCAAATGAGCAGAAAAATTTCAAAATCAGAGGGTTGGAAAAAGCTGGAAATTCTGTGGATGAGCAACAGACGTAATGAGGAGGTAACTGAAAAAATGTCCTTTAGGGAAAATKTATTTATTAATTGTTAAAAAGAAGCCAAAGACAGCATTCAGATCTCTCCAGGTTTCTACACTCAACTTCAAAGAAATATTGTCTAAAGAAATTAAACATGAGGCCACCCTCTTTGGAAAATGGTCAATGCTGAGAAAGCTCAGGAAGATAGTCAGTCATTTTTACAGCATTTAGTGTCTGTGTAAGTTAACATTTAGATAAATCTGCTCCTTTTTGAATAAGTTGGGGTGTCTAAACATTTGATTTAAGACAGTCAACAATGTTTTTGCTATAAACTCAAAGTAGAGAAAAGCAGAACTGAAGTATGTAAAACTGAGCCACCAGTCCAAAGACAGCTTTTTTTTTTTTTGTTTTTGTCTGTGTGAGGGCTGCATAATATATCACAAATTTTTCGTTAACTGGGTTGCCACGTCAAAATCCAAKATGGTTGCCACTATATATGTTAACAGGCCACTCTGATCTTTAGAAAAAACTGTTTTCTTTTGGTTTTGCTTAAAAGTCTAGTTTCTTCCAAAGATGGGGGTGGTCTGGGGTRGCTGAGGTATTAATCTGTAGTGGTCAAGACCACCATTGGCCACCCCCTGGTTCCTCCATTGTACCTGGTGATGGATTAAATTTCTCTCTGCTTACCGTCCCTCTGTTCTTACACAGTATAACTTATCCACAAATGAATATTTTGCACCAAAAACATTAAGGTKTACTTTCAACATTTGTTCAGTTCCAGTCAAGAAAACCCCTCCTGAAGAACTTCAAACAGTGATTGTTTAAACCCCTCAGTGAGAGAACATCACAGTACTGGTTGTTGTTCTGCACTCCTGGTGTGTTACAGATGATTAAATAGTTTGAGTTGTCTCACGGTGCTGTTAGTGGAGGAAGGCTACATTAAACTAAACRTTCATTTTATTTTTATTAACAATGTTAATACAGTTATTTGCCATTTAAATGGCATGTATTGGTGAGTGTAATCATCACAGTGACTGTTCTGACACATCTACAGAGGAAAACCATTTTAATCGGAGGAAGAGGAGTGTCTCCATTCCACACAGCTCTTCTGTAATTCATTATTAATTCTGAGTTTTCAATACATAAAACCCCTGTGACTCCCAGAAGGACATTAAACTCCTCATGAACATTTTGAAACATTTAGAAACTCTGTGATGGAGGAGGTTGTGTAAGTTGTGTCCAAATTCAGAGGCTGTGTCCTCCAAAGACTGATGTCACTGTGCCACACCATAGGCTGTCCAAATTCAAAGACTCCTCCAAATGTGGCACACAAATGCACCCTCCTGTTTCCTCCATTTGAGGGATGGGTCTGATGGATCCTTCTTGGTCCAACCCGTCCCATGATGCATTGCAGGCCGCTCAGAGATTTCTTTGCTTGTAATGGCGGATGAAGCAAGAGAAATGAACAGTTTTTAAAAAAATCTGTCGGTGTAAAAATTGAAAGTTTAAAGTGTTGATTTGTAGTAGTAATCTTGTCAGAAATCTAACGAGCTGGTTTTGCAAAATAAACATGCATGTCCGTTATTACAAATTAATAAAATTACTTAAAAGGCAAAATCTGCAGAACTAATATTGATATTTTGCTAATTCCAATCTACAGGACATACCCTGGGGTAAGGGCAGGAGTAAAGCCAAAAGCTAGACCGTCCATGCTTGTTTGTATGCTTGTTTGTCTTTGTGTCTATGGTGTATAATRATGTGATTGTGATGCTGTATTTCTGAGTGTTTTTATGTGCTGCAGAACAKGAACCTGCTGTAAAACAGCRATAATGCTGAGTCAGGCTTGATTTTTAGTCATCTTTTCCTGTTGAATCAAAAAATCAAATCAATCCAAATTCACAGCCACTTTTTTTTGGTCTTCGTGGTCGACCAAGGACTAGTCCCACCTAGGCCGGGTCCTTTTGAAGGATGCAGCCCCTGAATTTGGACACAGCCGTAGTCTGCTTCAAACACAAACAGCTGGTTTTAAATGCTGCCACTCATGTATTCTTTCAGTTTGCTGTGCATGGCCTCGAGCTTTACTACAGGCTGGAAATGTTTTAAAGACTGTATGAAGACCATCTGCATGCATGTGGATCACATGTCATTCCTCTGTTAGATTCTGTTTCCACATTATACAAAAACAAGCTGAACTGACATTAGTTTTATTATCTGAACTGGAAGTTTAAAGATGCCATCACTACAGTTATCTTTTGATGTGTACACACAGACACGTACAGCATGAGAATGTGCTGCTGTTTGTTTTATGTCAATTTGATAAAAAGTGCTTTTACTAACCACCTTTGCATTTTCTTCCCTCACCCTTCTCTCTCCTTCCTCTCTAACTGCTCTTCATCACACTATTGCTGTGTGTTAAAACAACGGCTCCTTTCTGTTCTATCTTCTGTTTCTGGTTTGTCCTGTCGGCCCGTGTGTGTTCATGGTTTCTCTGGGCTGTCTCTTCATCCCGTGGTCTCTCAGCTCTGCTCCTCCCTCTGAGGATCCTGCTCCTCCTCTGTCTGAAGCAGACGAGCTGCTCGAAAAGTAAGGTCTTCCTCTGGATGTTTCACTATGTCGTCAAAACTTGGTAGCAGATTTCTTTTTCTTTTATGGACTACATGTGGTTTACAGTCAGTTCCGAGTGGTTATGAACAAYTAATATCTTACCTGTTAAAGATGGCTTTAGGAGCATGAACAGTTTGGAGAAATGGTTTCTTTCTGATGGGACTGAACCTAACCGCCAAGACTAAAGCTGTTGTCTTCAGTGTTAGAACAATGTTACATAAACCTTTACAGGTCTGTCTGTTTTTTTATGAAGCAGGTTTTAGGTAGAATTCTGTGGTGGCTGTTGTGCACAAATAGCACCAGCTAGCTATAGCACTGAGCAGCTAGGTGTGACTTCCTGCAGACACGTCTTAATCTGTATTGTTTAAAGTGGACAGGGATGATAGTTTGGTGATTTTWAAAGTGATGTTCTAATAGTTCTCAGTCTTAAGCACCTTATCAGTCCTTACTTCAGAGAGAAAAGTATAGCAGTGTTTGTCCAGGCTAGGTTAATGGTTAGCATAATAAAGGTACATTCTGTTTCAGACTTTTAGCAACTGTTGAGTTTGTCACTGTGTTTTTTTCACTGAAGCAACGTCTCTGTTACAGTGTTAATGTCCTGGAACTCTGGTACATTTCATATTTGGTGAACCTCACGTGACTCANTAATATCTTACCTGTTAAAGATGGCTTTAGGAGCATGAACAGTTTGGAGAAATGGTTTCTTTCTGATGGGACTGAACCTAACCGCCAAGACTAAAGCTGTTGTCTTCAGTGTTAGAACAATGTTACATAAACCTTTACAGGTCTGTCTGTTTTTTTATGAAGCAGGTTTTAGGTAGAATTCTGTGGTGGCTGTTGTGCACAAATAGCACCAGCTAGCTATAGCACTGAGCAGCTAGGTGTGACTTCCTGCAGACACGTCTTAATCTGTATTGTTTAAAGTGGACAGGGATGATAGTTTGGTGATTTTWAAAGTGATGTTCTAATAGTTCTCAGTCTTAAGCACCTTATCAGTCCTTACTTCAGAGAGAAAAGTATAGCAGTGTTTGTCCAGGCTAGGTTAATGGTTAGCATAATAAAGGTACATTCTGTTTCAGACTTTTAGCAACTGTTGAGTTTGTCACTGTGTTTTTTTCACTGAAGCAACGTCTCTGTTACAGTGTTAATGTCCTGGAACTCTGGTACATTTCATATTTGGTGAACCTCACGTGACTCAYAGTCATAATTTTTTTATACTGAYGTATTTTGRTACCGTGATATAACAAAATACCTTCATACTGCCCAAGCCTAGCTCCTAGCCTAGCTTGGATGATGGCTTTTGCCTTTTTCTACATACACCAAGCTCTAGCTGATGTCTTGGCTGATAAGGTACTAACGGTTGGTAAATGTTTGACAGAACATCACTTTAAAATGACCAAACTGTTCTTTAAAGATGACATCAGCTTTAGAAGTGGGTCCACTCATATCATCTTCAAACTACTCCAGTCTTTTAAATGTCATATTATACAAACACAGTAATTAAAACAAGTTATTTCAGAACAGCGGAGCAGAGGTTCATAGTTCCTCGTAACTCCCAGTGTTCAATGAAACAGACAGATGTGTCTGACAAACTGACAGAAGTATCGMGCGTTAAACTGACAGACGTGTGAGACGATACACAGACGGACATGTCAGATGTTTCTAAAATACGAACTTTTCTGAAGCTGGAGGTCCAGAGTTTTAAAACAGCAGCTGATGTCAGACTAGGCATTGGCTCGTCAGTCCTGTTCAGCTGTTTCTCCAAACTACATTGTCTAAACATTTATCTACAGCAAGTAAGATACTGATTATAAYTTTTACCAAATGTTTGAAATCTCGCTTAAAGCCAGGATGGAGCTGGTTTCAGTTTACCTACAATGGAGGTCATCTGTAGTAGTATTTAGAATTAAAGGATTTGTTACAAAGAGTGGTTGTTAATTTGATTAAAAGTCACTTTATCATTTAATTTAAAACTTGTTCTTCAACAGGTTTGTGTGTAAGAACAACGGTGTTCTGTTTGAGAACCAGCTGCTACAGATCGGCATCAAGTCAGAGTATCGTCAGAATCTTGGTGAGCTGTCTGAGCGTGTATGTGTGTGCCTACACACACACACACACACACACACACACACACACAGACACACACACACACACACACACACACACACACACACCCTTGTACTTGCATCAAACTGAAGACTTTGTATTGACTTCCATTTATTGTTGTAACTCAATGTATGCCAACCCAGACATTTTTCCTAACATTATCATTACTGGTCTATAGGGATGGGTACCGAATTCGATACTTTAAGTACTGACCGAATTCTGTCTGTACTACCAAGAACCTATTCACATAACATCAAACAGTACCATGTTTCAGTACCTAAACGCATCATTGTGACCAGTATTGGCKTAAGAGTGGGAAAATTTCCATGCTTGTCCTGAACGCAACATCGTGCAAGAGCGTAATGATGTCAGCAGCCGCTGGTTCAGTAGAGTTCGACGTAGCTGAAATCCTCGCAGCTCCTGGAGTAAAACTCACCAAACAGATCGCCTCTGAATTATCTGGTGGATTATCTTGTGAGCACGACGTTCGCTTGCTCAAAGTAAATAAAGTACCACCACTTTCTTTCATCCGCCATTAAGCAGAGACTGGCAGATGAAAACGACAGAGGTGCATCCCGACAGTCCGAACACGTCTGACCTGAAGGAGCACAAGCAGCTAACTTGAAGTGTTGGAGCGTTTTGGATGCCGAAAACGTAGCTTGAATACCTTTTATTTGTTTAACTCCATCCTCTTTTGCTTAYTTGATTTAAACTTATTTGCCTTCCATGGACCTCCATCACATAATTTTTCTAGCACGGAAATGACATCAATAGAAATACGTGGAGCTGGATTTTAATTTGTGCAATAAGAAAACACGACATTAGTTGTTTTTCAAGAGTTTTTACTTCAAAGAAATTAGTTAAACTGGTGTTACAATACAAAGAGTTGGATGTTGTCTTGATATTTGCTAAATTTTATATATTAAGAAATAAGTTTTAAAAAAAGTTTATTATTAAAAAACAACACACACACAAGCAGTACGTCCTGCACAGCGGGAGGGGAGGAGGGAAAAAAAGGCAGAAATACAGCGGGACAGCTGCAGCC